ACAAAATTTTTAAGTATGTATTCAAAAACTTAGATTTTTTAATGAATGTTGAATATTATCATGTGGCAAAAATTTCATAGCATGTATTTGCTGGCTTAGATTGTATCATAAATGTAAATATTTAAGCCTGAGTAGAATAATTTTTTTTATGAAAAACACACAAAATAAGGTGCTCTAACAACTAGTCTCTGTTATGTTTGACAAGGACTGGAAGACAAAAGCAACTTGTGCTTTAACATGATTGACAACTTCATGAACACCTATGCCAGTGATTAGATTTTGTTGTTTTTACCAAAATTGGCAGTAATGTTGCAATCTGATAGGCTAGTGTGCTGTTGTTGATAAGAGTATAGACAACACTGCTAGTGTGTCTTGCAATACCTTTACCAGCCCTCAAGATGGATGGATAAATCGACAGTAATTTAGGCTGTTATGTACTCCTATTGTCAGTTTTGAAATTTAGCACCCTTTCTATAATCACCTCATGCAAGGTAATTATAGTGACATGTGACAACCCTCAACCAATCAGAGCATGCACATCTCTATAATCCCCTGAGCAATTATACTTATGCCATATAAATAAATTTTTAAAGCATTTATATTTACTGGCTTAGATTTTGTTATGAATGTTGGATATTATTAATATTTATAATCCCACACCTTTTGTTGCTAGCACCCAATTGATTTAAATGTATCACTTGACTGTATATCCCATGGCTAAAGTAGGAGAGTATGGAAGGATATATGCCACATGATATTCCCCAATTTTCAAACCTTACTTTCAATACTGTAAGCTCTGCATTTAAAATTTAATCCAGTGAAGATAGCAGAGAATTACATGATTTTTACAGATAAAGAAACATTTTTGCCTAAATGGAGGCTATATTGGTTAAATAAAAAGTTTTTTAAAGTGTTTTTTTATTGGCATAAATTTTATTATGAGTATTGAATATCATCATATAATTAGATATTTTAATTGTGTTTTTACTTCCTTAAATTTTGTCATGTGTGACAATATCTAATGTAGAAATAAGTATTAAAAAGTGGTCATAGAGAATGTTGTGTTTCATTGTGGTTTTGTAGATAAATGAATGTCCTATCATTTAACTAATATGATTAGTCGAGGTAATTCAATTGTATTGTTTGCAAAATTTTGACTGCTTTACTGCTAGTCCTTGTAAGGCAATGAGGTTGAAAAATTGCTTACTGTTATTGGTGTGTCTTGCATACTGTTGTTTGGGTATGTTGATCCTAATTGTTTCTGAATACTAATTTTATTCCTTTATGCTTTTTTACTGATTAGTTGTTGTGCTTTAAAAAGTTGCATAATTATGTATTTACCGGTTAAAAATTTGTCATTGTGTAGAACTCAACAATTGCATGATTAATGCTTTTGTATAACATACTCGCCATAACAACCAGGGGGTGGGCTCAAAGGAGACAAATGCATGTAAGCCAGCTTATATGCAGAAAAAAGACAAGGTTCAAAAACCTGATACCACTCAGTAGGCATTTGTATTGTTCCAGAGGGCCATGAAATCTTGGTGGTAAGTAGTAAGTGAATTGACAGAGGTATGTTTTAGTGTGTCTGTTGTCTTTATTCAATAAGAACTACAGAAACAGCCTCTTTCAGTCAGTCACTGAACACTAGCTGACCCAGATGATGTCAAACCTGCCTGATGGCAGGTTATGGGGCACCATGAAGGTCCCATGATTTAGTAAACCTCTCTCTTTAGGGCACTATCTCATATGAAAAGGATTTCTAATGGCTCAGCTTCCGGTAGCTTAATTATACCTTTTTGGTTGTGGATGGAGTATACCTTGGAACTCGCACTTGCAATACCTCATATCTTGAATGTCTCCTTGGCTACAAAGTAGTTATCAAAGATTTAGAGGACTGCTACTTTGGACAAGCTTAGACCAATATCAGCCATTGACATCAAGACAAGAATTTTTTAGTGATTGATTTTGGATTCTGAATTGAGGAAATCAGTTTCATGCTTTATTCTTTCAAATCAATTTACCTTCGAGAAAGATTGTGGAACTGAGACTGCTCTTATATAAGGTAATCAGAATTTTTGGATGTGATGGCATGATGGCTCAGTGAACTTTGTTTGAGTTCTTCTTTTTACTTTTGAAAAGCCCTTTCAGTTTCTTACAGAACACCACCTGTTGATACTGTTCTGAGGCCTGTACGTTTTACAATCATGGTTCAAAATCCTTTATTTGAGTGACTGAATTGTGTGATTTCAAAATGGATGCAACAAAGAGGTAATTGAACTTCTTGTCATGTTGCAGTTTTGGTCTGAAGTCGTACCTGTGATTTCAAATCAAATTTGTACTGAGTGCTTATTTGATTTTGAGATGATGTGTTTGATTTCAGTCTAAATTGCACTCCCTCACTTCCATTATCATAATTATTTTCATCATGATTATTATTTGGTATTTACCCAATTGCACTGAGACAAGATTGAGTGAAGTTCACATAGTCATTGGCCTTTGTTAGATGTGTATAATCATCAGCATACATCCTTTGATAACAATTATTTGAGCGGCATTGACTTGACGCATTCTTGATATTTATATATATTTGGTGTAGAATTGAATTTTAGACAGAAGCAAAGTAGTGCTCTGATTGCCCTCTCAAAGTCCAGATGTCCTTTGTTATGGCCTCTGAGCAACTCACAAAGGATTTTTGCCAGAAAATATTGTAATCATAGCTGGTATAAATGAGTGAAAATCATCTCTTTGCAATTTATTATCTCATTGTTATAGTGTGCTAAAACAACTATTCACATACCCCAGTGGTAGCAGCTTAGATCCACCACTGGCCACCTAAACTGAGGTGAATAGTTGTTAATTAGTACAATTATTGCTGTGGTGATTATAGTAATGCACATGCTCTTATTGGTCAAGAATTGCATCATATCTTGCTATAATCACCACAGGTGAGGTAAGTATAAAAGGGGCACTAAATTTCAAACTCCAGGCTGTCTCGTGTTTTGTCGATGTTACACAGGAGGTGATCAACAAAATGGAAGGAAGTACAATTTTGAAGAGCACAAAAGATGCTACTAAGTTTGGGGTAACACTTTTCAAAAGAAAGCTATGAAGTTTTTGCTGATTAATTTGAATAAACATGTTATATTGTAGTGTAAACTGGCTGCTCATCTTGATACAAGTTATCAAGACAATTGTAACTGTATAATGGTTTCGAAATCAAAATGAATCTACAACAGAATTTGAAAACACCTGAGCAATTATACTAAAACAATTATTCGCCTCAGACTCAGTGAATATTGTTGAATAATACCCTCAAATTCGTCTTGGGGATTATTAGACAATATTCACTTTGTTTGAGGCAAATATTTGTCAAATAATAAGTGGTGAGAACAATAAAGGGCCTAAAATTGTCAGTAGAGAAACTCTTATTCATGAAGGGGAACTGGCCATGCAAGCCGTCACTAAGTGGACCTTTAACCCTTTTACTCCCATGAGTGACCAAGACAAAATTTTTTCTTATATTATCCATACAATAAGAGAAAAGTGATGAGAATAGAGAAAAATATCAATTAGAGAGTTATTAGTGGGTCGCCATACCAAGTTATCTGAAATAACATCAGAAGAATTGTGTGACAGACAGTAAGAAGAATTACGAATGAGACCTTGGAAGTGAAAGGGTTAGCGAAACATCTGTTTTTCGATTGTCTACACATGACTTCAGCCAGGAGTGCTAAGGTTGGTACAGAGTACAAACGGTTAGAGCCGCCTATATTCTTGGATAAAACCACGATAGGATGCTACTTCATTCTCTCTTGATAAATCTTACGGTGCAAGTAAAAGTGGGTTAAACTCAAGACTAGAGGCTTAAGTCTTAGGCTTTTCCTTCCAACTTTTTGTTGCGGTTTCATTTGTGCCTCTATCTTTTCATCTGCTGGCAGCCTAAAGTACAATTGGTAGCCTGGGTTTGAACTTCACAACTGAACTGAAAAGGCACCGTTTATGTTGTCCTCATGATTTACATGTATTTTATTGTTACAGTAGCATCTGCAGCGACGTGATGAAAAATGAAAAAAAAGCATTTTTGAATGTAAAACAATTGAGATTATTTTATGCCGGTGGAATGTACATAAAAGACGTTCTATTCCCTTCCCTTATTTCTGAGATAATTTTGGCCTTGCATGGCGCTAGGAATTTCATCAAAACAAAAAATAATTGACTTTTTTGCTAGAAATCATATCTATTGGCTTCGGTTAGTTATCACAATAAATGGGCCAAAATGAGCGACATAAATCTTTCAACAGGACTTTATTTACAAGTTGGCTTCTCACACTAGCACGTACTCTGGTATTGAAAAACGTTTGTTTTCCTTTGTGTGTTCTTTTTTACATCCTCCGCTTTTTAATTTTACTCTTATGAGATTTTACTTGAGACGCAAAAAGCTTATATTTCTGGTACTTTGATCAGAAAATTCATTGGTTAAGATAGGTGTTCACCCTTGTTAGTTCTCTATTTTGGCTCTTTCTTTTGAAATGCTGATTAAGAAATTATGCAGCACTTAGCATAATCATCATCGCGATAAACGGACGAAACTTCAAAATCAAAATCGTCAACCTCGCAAATAAACCTCTCGAGTCTAGGGTTTCTTATCTCAGTGTAAACGGCATGTCCGTAGCGCTCCTCGTCGTAGTGCAAGCCAAACAAGTCACGCTCTACGTTAGACAAAAGACTGCGCAAGTTATTGACCTCAACATGCCTCGGTCCGAGCACTTGCAACAGGATTTCTAGTGCTCGTTGATAGAGATTCTTGGCCTTCTGCAAGTCACCCAAATCACATTGCAGATGGCCTTGGTTGCTGTAAATACGGGCAACATCGACATGCTTGGGTCCA